GAGCCCAATGCGGGACTCGATCCCGGGACTCCAGGATCATGACCTGAGCCGAAGGCAGTCGCTTAACCAACTGAGCCACCCAGGCGCCCGCCATATTTACATCTTAATAATCTTCCTGTTCTTCTATAATTGTAAATATGTTTCCAAATGTTATTTGTAAATATTTTCTTGAAGACGTCTCCGCTCTGGAAGTTTAATCTTAAGGCCCATGGATGTAACCATCAATTTCCAAGCCTTCCTAATTAATTACCGGAAACAACCCTGCTAGTGTGTAATGCCCAATGTGCAAATATCTGAATTTTGTTAGGGAGAAGAGTTTTAGATTGATATCACAGTCATCTTTTTTTGGTTAAACAAATGTTAACAGCAATCACTGACTCTAGCAGATTACATTTGCTTTAAAATGTGAACAGGGGCGCCTGGGTGGCTCAGTCGGTTAAGCGTTTGCATTTGGCTCAGGTCATGATCCCAGGGTCCTGGGATGAAGTCCTACATCGGGCTTCCAGCTCAGCCAGGGAGTCTGCTTCTCCCTCTGCTTCTGCCCTCCCCGTGCTGGGCTCTCCCTCTCTCTGTCAAATAAATAAAATCTTAAAAAAAAAAAAAAAAAGGTTATGAACAAGAGCTGTGCTTGCACATATTCTTTCACTTATCTCCCAGAGTTGTGAGGATTAAATGACTGGCATAAAATTGGTGCCTTGGAAGCATATTTCCTTTCCCAACTGCTCTCTCCCTTCCTGGACTAAAATAAAACCACTTTTATTTATCAGTTCCATGTGTTGCTGTGGCATCAGGTTTGTGTCAAGTAAAAGCTGCCTCTTCCCAGCACTTACTTGTTTTGTAAAATCAATATTTTTAAAATGACATTTATGCAACAAAACACCTTTTTTATTGGTGTATATATATATCCATGTTAAAGCAGGATATGTGAAAGGACACACATGAAAATCATCACAAAGATTATTTTGTGGAGGATAATGGTAGCCTAGGGATTGATGGGCCACTTTGGCTAGATTATTTTGAGCTGAAGGCAATTGAGACCCTGCGGGCTCAAGAGAAACTTTTGCCCTTCCCTTAACTACATGGAAGAATCTAAATTGAGGGTCTTTCCCAGAATAAGGGTTATTAACAGAGATAAACTGTGTCTGAGTGACCCATCTGTATGGCCGGGCAAACATCTAATTATCAAACATCTGCTCTTCTTATTGCCCTGTGAAGTGCATTCCATCCCTCCGAAGTCCTAGACCCCTAACCTTTTCTCCTTAGTTCAGGATGACGTACATACCTTGTTTTGCCTGTCTTTGGAATCTCCATGTCTGTACAGATTTCCTGTGCATATGCTATCAGATTTGATTTTCTCCTGTTAATCTGTCTCTTGTCAATTTGATTCTTAGCCAGCTAGAAGGACCTACGATGGGACAGGAATTCTTGCTCCCCGACAGTAGTGACAGTGGCAAGAACACTGAAAGGAGACGGCATCTTCACTTGTAATGTTCCAATATTTAATCTTTAACAAAAGTTGCTTATACTTATAGCTCTCTTTTCATTCCTGACATAACTTGTATGGAGACTATTTTTTTAAGATTTTTTTTTTATTTCTTTATTTGTGAAAGAGAGAGCACAAGCAGGGGGAGCAGCAGAGGGAGAGGGAGAAGCAGGCTCCCCGCTGAGCAAGGAGCCCCACGCGGGACTCGATCCCAGGACCCTGGGATCATGACCTGAGCCAAAGGCAGACGCTTAACTGACTGAGCCACCCAGGTGTCCCATATGGAGACTATTTTTAATGGTGATGTCATTTAAAGAGAAAGGAATAGGGGCGCCTGGGTGGCTCAGTCGTTAAGCATCTGCCTTCGGCTCAGGTCATGATCCCAGGGTCCTGGGATCAAGCCCCGCATCGGGCTCCCTGCTCGGCGGGAAGCCTGCTTCTCCCTCTCCCTCTCCCCCTGCTTGTGTCTCCTCTCTCACTGTGTCTCTCTCTGTCAAATAAATAAAAATCTTTAATAAAAATAAATAAATAAATAAAAAGAAAGGAATAAAAACCCAAAAGTGTTAATACAGCGGGTGAACTGTCTTTAATTGTTGCTGCTTAGCATTTATTAGTCTCACCCTCCTAAACTTCAAATAGTGGGTTATATTTTCAGGAGAGTCCCCCTAACTTTTCTCCACCAAGTGTTTATGGAAGAAAGTCTGGAGCTGCTTCCAAGCATCCACCTGGGCCATGGCATGAGCCCTGGGCTCCCCTCCCCAGATGACAGGACCACCCACCAAGATGTGTAGGGAAGCCCGGCACATGGGGAAGTAAGGAGGCTCAATGTAGTGCCCTGTCCCAGGGTAACAGATGATCTGGGGCTTCTCCCTACCGTGGGCCTGTAAGCACTTAGAGGCCTCATTAGCAAAGAATTCACTCTTCCAATTGTGGTCATCCTGACCTACAAGGAACAGGAAGGCACTCTCCGCCCTTTCCACGGGAATGAAACTCTTCTGGTCAGCTCCTTCCAAAGGGCTGTTCAGGACATGCAAAATGTCTGCCAAACCGTCTTTGGTCAGCCTCACTCGACTTGGGTCTACAGCCAGAGGGGGCAAGGTCTCATCTTTGTAGTGTAAGGCTCCCCCGACAACGGCCACGGAGCCATTGATTATGACGGCAGCGGTGATACCCTTCAGGAATGAGGCCATGGACAGGCAGAGTTCACCTCCTTTGGAACTGCCAAGCAGCCCGACTCCCGGACCCTTTACCTGAGAAAACGACAGAGGAAGGAGAATGAAGCCATGAACAGTGCAGTGTGATGAGCAGTGCCTGGAATTGGAAAATAGGTGCAACTGAGCCTGAGTCTGGGCTCTACCACTGGCCAAGTTTTGCAATCTTGGGGTATTCACTTATTCTTCCTCTCTATCTTCCTTTCTGCAATTTCTCCATCATCATTCTTGGTGACTTCAGCAACCATGTGGAGGGTACTCTGCTTTCTCAGCATTCATTTTTCCCCATCCATCCTGCCACATTTCACTTACGTTTGCTTTCCACTGCTCCAAAAGACCATGCCATACCTCTCCTACAACCTCAAGCCTCTTAACCTTTAACCCTGTTCTCTTTCACTGTCAGCTCTTCACACCAAATGGAGAAGATAAAGCTCTCCAGTAGGGACTCCGCCTCTTTTCACCCTGCGGCATCTACTTAGTTCCACAGGAGTTCAAGCTCTCTGCCTTCCCTTGGTTTCCAAAGTTCCTCTGTGCTGACCCCTGCTGCCTGCACTTGGAATCTCCTCCACTCTCATTCTCCAGGACTTGCTCCTACAATTACATCATCTCTCTCCTTCTTCATCACTTTCTTCTCTGGCCCATTCCCATGGGCATACTTAATGCTCTATTTTCATAACATTTCCATAACAAACCCTTGACCTCACATCCACTCTGCCCTAGTTTTCTACTCTCTTTCACAGCAAAATTTGTGGGGACCAATTGTCTCAGTTGTTCTTTCAGTCTTCCCTTCTCTACCCCATCTCCTCAGGGTAGTTTGGGTCTGCAGCATCCCATGAGGACTGCTCTTGCCACAGTTACCAACATCTATTATAAATGGCCCTCCAGTTCACCTCTCAACAGCAGTCCTTTTCTCCTTCTGGCTTCTACAACAGCACCCTTGACTCTTTTCTTTTTTTTTTTTTTAAAGATTTTATTTATTCATTTATTTGAAAGAGTGAGAGAGAGAGAGAGCACATGAGAGGCGGGAAGGTCAGAGGGAGAAGCAGACTCCCCGCCGAGCAGGGAGCCCGATGCGGGACTCGATCCCGGGACTCCAGGATCATGACCTGAGCCGAAGGCAGCCGCTTAATCAACTAAGCCACCCAGGCGCCCCGCCCCTTGACTCTTTTCAACCATTTATTCCGCCTAGAGGAAAAGTACTAGGAAATGAAATGATACATTATGTCATCCCAACTTTTCAGAGGAGGAAAGAGAGGCCGCAAGATCACGGGGCTGGTTGGCAATTGGTGAAATAAAAACTTAGATTTAACTCTTGTCTGTCCACATCTCATGCTGGTGCCACTGCACACTATCACCTTTTCTAAGAGTTCCAAAGCTTCCCATCCACTGAGCTCTGAACTGTAAAATAAGCAGTGCTTATCTCCTGATCCTCTGATACCCTGAGCCTATGACCCTCAAAACACTGCCTAGTACCAAGGTATCTGGCTGCCCAGTTCTTCTTTAATACTTAACACTGTGCTCTCAGAGGAGCCACGAAGAAGAGAGGGTTGTTATACACGAACATTTAACGTAGGGCCTTCTGGAGACAGTGATCCCCTTCCCCTTTCCCTCTACTTCCTGTTTCAAAGCCAGGGTTCTCAAATATGTTTGGGCTTATTATGATATCCTGTAAAATACTGGAATTTAAAATTCCAAACCAACTAAGAACATCTTTACTAGCAGGAAATACGAGAACATAAAATTGCATAGAAACGGTCTATGAGAAGCGACTCAATGGTAGTGTGTATTGGGGACTGGGAGTGGCGGTGGTGAACTTGTCACGTTCTGTGAAAACTAAGAGCAGTTATGAAGACACCGATACATAGATCATAAAACCTTCAGAAGTTCCAACCTGAGGGTGATCCAGCAGGTAGTTCACAGCTTCTTCAAAGTAGTCCAGGTGGAGGATCTCTAGGCCTTTGGGGAGGTCTTCATAGTCATGATAAGCCAGAGCCATCACAGCAAAACCCTTGCCAGCCAGCAGACTAGCTCGTTGTTCCAGAAGGCCACTTCCAACTCCATAAATGTCCACAATCCCAGGAAAGGGCCCCGGTTCTTTGGAAGAAACAAAACACAAAACTGAACTATTCCCCAAACTCTCTGCAGTGGGGTCAAAAGCCCTGTGTTGCCTACTTGGTGATGTCAAAGTTTTCTACTGACAATCAGAAATGCTAGAAGACCTCTCTGATCTTCAAAGACCAGACAGTGGCATAGGCTCAATCCACATTTCTCCTATACCCAGAGCCTCAAAGCCCCACAGATTTTTTACAAAAAGCATGCTTTACTTTTGTAATGAAAAATAATTTACAAGCAGACAATGAAAAGAGCAAAATCGTTACCCCCTCCACCCCCAAAGCTGACAATGCCAAATGCTAGAGAGCAGGTAGAACAATTGGAACACTCGTACACTGCTGGTGGAAATGTAAAATGATACAGCCACTTGGGAAAACAGCTGGGCAATGTCTTATAAAGTTAAACACGTACGTACATATGATTTAGCAATCTCATTCCTAGGTATTCACCCAAGAGAAATGGAAATTTGTGTTCACACAAAAACGTGTATGCAAAAGTTTGTAGTGACTTTATTCATCATCTCCAAAGACTTGAAACCCAGCCTGGAAACCCGTCCTTCAACTGTTGAATGAATAAAACTGCTTTTGGGTTTTGTTGTTGTTGTTGTCTTAAAAGATTTTATTTGAGAGAGCGCGCGCGCACACACACACACACACACACACACACACACAGAGTGGGGGGGGAGGGGCAGGGAGAGAGAGAGAGAAAGAGGAGAGAAAAAGCAGCAGAGACTCCCTGTTGAGCAGGGATCACGACCTGAGCCAAGGCAGCCATGCTCTACCGACTAAGCCACCCAGGTGCCCCTTTCATGCTAATTTTCTTAAACCTTAATATACTGTGAGAGTTAGAAGCAAAGTTGCTATACTGAGAAATCATTAAGAAGAATCATTAAAGGGGGGGGCGCCTGGGTGGCTCAGTCGTTAAGCGTCCGCCTTCAGCTCAGGTCATGATCCCAGGATTCTGGGATCGAGACCCGCATCGGGCTCCCTGCTCAGCAGAGGGCCTGCTTCTCCCTCTCCCACTCCCCCTGCCAGTGTTCCCTCCCTCATTGTGTCTCTGTCAAATAAAGAAATAAAAAATCTTTTTAAAAAATCATTAAAGGGATGCCTGGGTGGCTCAGTCGTTAAGCGTCTGCCTTCGGCTCAGGTCATGATTCCAGGGTCCTGGGATCGAGTCCCACATTGGGCTCCTTTCTCCAAGGAGCCCGCTTCTCCCTCTGCCTGCCTCTCTCTCTCTCTCTGACAAAGGGGCGCCGCCTGGCTGGTTCAGTCGGTAGACCATGGGACTCTTTTTTTTTTTTTTTTAATTTTTTAGTGTTATGTTAATCATACATTACATCATTAGTTTTAGAAAGCATGGGACTCAGGGGCGCCTGGGTGGCTCAGTCGTTAAGCATCTGCCTTCGGCTCGGGTCATGATCCCAGGGTCCTGGGATGGAGCCCCACATCGGGCTCCCTGCTCCGCGGGAAGCCTGCTTCTCCCTCTCCCACTCCCCCTGCTTCTGTTCCCTCTCTCACTGTGTCTCTCTCTGTCAAATAAATAAAATCTTTAAAAAAAAAAAAAAGAAAGCATGGGACTCTTGATCTGGGGGTTGAGTTTGAGCCACAGGTTGGGTGTAGAGAATACTTAAAAATAAAATCTTAAAAAAAAACCGAAACAAAAAAAAAAACGACTTTGAACCACCGGGGCACCTGGGTGGCTCAGTCTGTTAAGTGGCTGCCTTCGCGCAGGTCATGATCTCAGGGTCCTGGGATCCAGCCCCCCGTGGGGCTCTCTGCTCAGCGGGGAGTCGGCTTCTCCTTCCCAGTCTTCCTCTGTGCTCTCTCTCTCAGATAAATAAATAAAACCTTAAACAAACAAACAAACTTGGAACTACCTATGTTTTTGTTTTCACTTACAACTGTCTTGTCCCTTACGTCTTCTAACTGACCTCTCAGTTTTGGAGAGGCAGAGCCATCTCCCCACCAGAGCCCACTTTGAGGCCGCCACAGACCTCTGTAATGTTGGGAGCTACCTCCTTACTGTCTGTAGAAGTGCAGGAGACAAGAGAAAGGCAGGCCTGGGACCCGGGGCGCTCACCTGGGGGCAGGAAGAGCGTGGCGCGCACCCGGCCCGCGCGCACCGGCTCCCGCCGCACGCC